ATTATTGGATTCAGTTCGTTACAATTTTATTGAGGATTTTTGCATGTGTATTCATTAGAAGATTGGTCTGTTGTTTTCTTTCTTTGTGTTGTCTTTGTTAGGTTTTAGTATTAGTGTAATATGGCCTCATACAATGTGTTTAGAAGAGGTCCTTTCTCAAATTTTTGAAAGAGTCTGTGCAGGCCAAGTGTTAGATTGTCTTTGAACGTTTGGTATAATTTACTTGTGAAGTCATCTGGTCCTGAATTTTTGTTTTGTGAGGGAGTTTTGATTAGTGATTCAATTTACTTGCTTGTATTTACTTTGTCCAAGTTTTCTATTTATTCCCTATTCAGTCTTAGATGATTGTGTAATTCTAACCTGTCCATTTTATCTAGGTTGTTGAATTTTTTTGCATGTAAATGTTCATAGTAATCTCTTGTTACCTCTCAGTTTCTGCAGTGTCTGTTGTAACTTCTCTTTCTACTTATTTGAGTTTTTTCCTGCTTTTTCTTAGTGAGCCTAGGTAATGGTTTGTCTATGTTGTTTATTTTTTTCAAAGAACCATCCTTTGGTTTTGTTGATCTTTTGGATTATCTTTTTGATTTCTATTCCATTTATTTCTGCTCTCATTTTTATTATTTCCTTAATTCTATTGGCTTTGAGTTTTTGTTCTTCTTTTTCTTGTTCTTTGAGGTGAGAGACAAGGTAATTTATTTGGGCTCTTTCTAGTTTATAAATGTGGACCAGTATTGCTAAAAACGTCACTCACAAAACTGATTTTGCTGTGTGTTATGAGGTATTTTTAAATTTTTCTTTTATTTCATTAACCCAATGGGCATTCAGTAGTGTCTTGTTCAGTCTCCCTGTATTAAAGTATTTCCTTGTGTTCTTTTTGTAGTTGATTTGTAATTCAGTGCTTTTATGATCAGAGAACATACTTGGTATGATTTTAGTCTTTTTTAAAAATAATTTCTATTTTCATGATTTTGTTGATGTTTGTCTTATTACCCATTATATCGTCAATCCTGGAAAATGACCCATGTGAACTTGAGAAAAATGTGTATTCAGCTTTTCTTGCTTGTAATAAATGTCTCTCAGACCCAACTGATCTAGTTCTTTATTTACCCTTCCTTATTTACTCTTTGTCTCATTGTCCACTGGTGAGAGTGGATATTGAAGTCTCCTACCACATATGTATTTTCTCTAATATCTGCTTTCAAATTTGATAACAGTTGATGAATTTTGGTGTTCCTTCATTGATAAGACTGGGGCCTACTGGGGCTTGTGTCTGCTCCCAAGGTGCTGGTGGCTGGACCTAGAGTCAGTGGCACTTACCACTGAAGGTTCCTGATGTAGAGCAAGGCCCTCTGGAGCCCAGGCTGGGACTCACTACTGCTTGTGAAGCACTGGTGGCACTTCCTGGGCATGCTGGGGGCCTGAGAGGAAGGGCTAGGCCCTGCAATGCCAGGACTAGGGCTTGTGTTTATCCCCAAAGTGACTGGGTCCTGTGTTACAGATGTGTTGCTGAAGGTCCCTGATGTCCATTTTTTAAATTTTTTTTTTCTAATGAAGTGTAATTGCTTACATCTTTAATATTTTGGTAATATTTGATTTCTCCCCTTCGGTGTGGTCATTGTCGCTCTCCCACCATCAAAGCATTCATAGTCCTCCACCATAGTCCACTGTGTTCTCCCCCAACTCATTCTTCTCCCTCTTCCTCTCTCTGCCTCTCCCCCTCCCTTCTTGGATGCTCTCTTTCTTTGGATTATTAAGTTTAGACCATTCCTATTTAGGGTGATTATTGATATATGTGGTTTAATTACTGCCATTGTATCTTTTGTTTTATGGTTGTTTTGTATTTCTATTGTTTCTTTTTGCACATTTCTATCTGATTTTCATATAGATGGTTTTCCTGGGTGGTCTGAGTTTCTTCATTTTTTTCTAAGTGTCTCTGCCTCAGATTTTTGAGGAGTATACTAAATCTTCTTATGTAAAATAATCTTTTTAGTGCTGTTACTAACTTTTCATTTGATTTCATAGATTCTGTCCTTTTCTTCCTCTCTTTTAGTATGTGTTATTGTCTCATATTCTTCTTTATGCTTTTGGTTTGGCATAATTTTTTATCACCTAGATCAAGGTTTGTGTCTTCATTTTTCTTTTCCTATAGAGGAACTCCTTTCAACAATTCTTACAGGCAAGCCATGTGTTGGTGAATTCTGATTGTTTTGTATGTCTAATAAAACTTTTATTTTTCCATCATTTATGAATGATAATTTTTCAGAGACTAGTATCCTGGGTGGTAATTTTTAATTTTTGGTATTATGTATGCTTAATCCCACTCTTTCTTCCTGTGAGGCCTGATGATAGCCTGATTGAGATACCTTTGTATGTTACCTGCTCGTTACCCCCTGGTAGACTTTAATATTTTTCTTTATCATTAAATTTTGATAATTTTATAATGAAATGTCGTGGCATAGGTCTTTTTGCATTTCAAAATTGTGGTGTTTTATTAGCTTCTTGAATATCCATGGTTAGTTCTTTCCTTAGGTTTGGCAAGTTCTTGGATATTCGTTCTTTAGGTAGGCTCTCTGCTCCTTTCTCTCTCTCTTCCCCATATGGAAGAACCATTACACTAATATTTCCTCTTCCAGTGGAAGATGGTAAAATAAGAGTTTTTTCTGAATCTTATTTCTCTCTCCTTTTCTACTTGAGTCATTTGTACATTTTTATTTTCTATTTCACTATTTCCTCTGTAAAACTAAGCCCACTTATTATACTTTCCATGGTTTGTCTTCAGTTCTTTAATTTTCATATCCAGCACTTCTGTGGTTTTTTTTTAATAACCTCAATCTCTTTGATAAAGAACTCCTTCTCCTCCTGAATATCTTTTGTGAGATCCTAAACTGCCTTTCTGTGGTTGAGAGTCTTGAACTTTTTAAAAGTTTCTTCATGTTAGCTCTTCTAAACTCTTTTAGCCCCTCAAATTCTGTGTCATTAGTTGGAATTTCTCTTCATCCTGTTTTCTCTGGCTTGACTATTCCTAGGCCTGTGTTGGCCCTTATTCCCATAGATGATGCTGTGGCTTTAGTTTTGGGATCCTTTTTTATTTATGTGGCAGAAGGGGGAAGTATGGAAAAGGGGGGATAAACAGCACAGTCACAGTCATAGGGGGGTGAGAAACCTATGCTGCCACTTCTCTGTCAGCCGCCAGAGCAAGCACCAATCCATGGCCAGAGTCTGTTTTCTTGGTCCCCAGCTTGGAATCATGGGCTTCTGTGGCTCACAGCAAGTTTCTCTCCAGTGAAAACCCCTCACTTCCTGAGGTGTGGGAAGATGGGCTCTACTGGCTAGCCTACAGAGTCTCTTGGACTGAACACCTGGGTCCTAGTACTTTATCCCCACTGTGGAGGCCATTTGTACCAGTCTGGGTGCAACAAAGCACATGCCCTTTGCTGGGAAGAGCTGCTACTGTGGCCATAGCTCTCCTCCCTTCTCCCTGCTCCACTACAGGAAGCAAACAACTATTCCTGGCAGGGCAGGTGGTGAGGGATGCATGGGTCAATCCAGCCAAATACGCTAGATGAGCTGATGAGATGTATTTGTGGCAACAGTTGTTTTCTTAGGTTGTGCTTAGAGGAGAGACTTGCCTGTAGCCAGCTAGTCTGCCATGTTGTGACTTCGCTCCCAAGATTTTTTTTAATGCCTGAGAGAAGAATTGGTTCTATCTTCTTTCTGTTTATCTTATGTTCTGTAACATAGAGCTTGGGAGTCAGTCTTGAAGATTGGAATAGATCCAAATGCGTCTTTTATTAAAGACAATCTTGGTCCCAGTTGTAGGTATTCTCCTAGCCCCAATAGCTCAGCATTGGAGTCAAGAAAAACAGTTTAGGCATAAGTCCTGGGGTGCCTAAAGTGGGGCCAAGGCAAATGCTCTGAAAGGATTGTCTGGAAAGCATAACGTCAGGGGGGACAAATGTAGTCGGAGCCTCCTTACTGGCAATCACAATCTTTAATTAATTATTAATTAAACCATGTGTTTGTTAGCAAGTGTCAGCTTGTAGATATTGGCTGAAATACAGAACTCAGAGGAAAAAAGACCTTAAACCTTAGCTCTTTGGATATCATCCCTTCCCTGGTACCATGAAACGTTCTTTTCTTCCCTTCTTCTTGGAACTCTTAAAATATAGGGATTATGAGCATTTGACAATTCTATCCTCCTAGGTAGTACTTGCAAAAGACTAGTCTCCATTTACATCTTCCTCTTCCTCATCTTCCTTATTCTATAATTACTTCCACCAGGAAATAAGGGCTCTAGTCATGAGGCAGGAGGCACCAAATCTAGTTTTGACAATAGGGTATCTCACTGAATGCACTTCAGTAAACTTATTTACCTCTCAGGATCTCAATGTCTTCACCTATAAAAAGTGTGAGAATGTGCATTTTGCCCATGTTGTATGATCCCTAAGGCCTTAGAACTTCAAACAGTTTATTGTATCTCTCAACAGAGAATGGTGAGTGCCCCTGCTGGGAATTTCAGGTTACTATAAATACTATAAAAAATTTACTATAAATCAATGTGGTCTCTCTGCAGAGAGACCTGGATTCCAGTGAGTTTTTAAATATATATTTTCAATGAAGGAAACTAGGATGGAGCACTGGGGGATGAAGTATGGGCCTACAAAGATGCTGTGAGTAGCTCCGCTTACTAACATCATCTCCCCATAGACTCTGGTCTCCTCTTGGAGGTTCCTCTAATTTTCCCCCCACACCCTAGGTTCTGTCATTAGAATAAGCTTCAAGTGGAACTCCTTACACCACCTCAGCCCCAGTAGAAATAAGTTGGCCAGGCCAGGCTTGGAGGCCACTGAGAAGAGAGGAGCACATACTCTGAAGACAGGTCAGAAGAGCCGAGGTGTGATGTGAGTACAGGCAGGCGGGCCCGTTGGCTGAAGGCTTTATGATCAGTGTGATTCTGAAGGTGATTGTTGTAGACAGAAGGAGAGGGTGGCAGACACTGCCTAGGCTTCACTGGGGCTGTCATGGATTCTGGCAGCCATGTCGTTGGACTGGTGTAGGAAGGCAGCATAGGCCATGTCAGCTTCCTCCTTGGATGACTAAGGGAGCAACACAAGAGGAGTCAGTATTTGGGGTATTGCTAAGTGGGTAGAAGTCAGAGGGAGAAGAAATACTGAGTGTCTTGAATTCCTAATTGTGACATAAGTGACCTAAGTCCGTGTTGACCTGCTCTTCTTATTCCAGCCCCTATGCCCACCAAAAACTAATTTTGAGAAATATTGAAGCATCTAAAATTATTTCCCTTTCTCTCACTACCTCCTTATGACACATGGAGTGGAACCACTTCTGTTTCCTGGGTCTTCCCCTGGAAGCTCCACCCACACAGCCCACAGGCAAGGTGGCACAGGCTGGTATCAGCCATAGTGGTCTATATTTCTTTCTTCACCAAACCAGAGACATAGCCTTAGCCATACAAGACTAGAGGCGAAGTCTTGGCCCAGGGCTCATTCACTACCCTAGTTGTTCTAAATGCTGCTTCTCTGCTACAGTGGGGAGAGTAGATATGATGAAAGCACTGACATCTCAGGGTCAGGGAGGTATAAGGGAAGATAATATGTGATCCACAGGCAGGATTTGCCTCTGATAGGGTTTCAAGTCATGTAGCTGGTGTGGGGAGGGGCTTTCTAGTGACTATCAAATTGTCCAGCATGAACAAATGTCCTTCAGGTCAAAGGTTGGTCCTGTTCAAACTCTTAAGGGAGGTGAGGATGTAACCTGACATCCATGGATCCCACAGCCCACAAAAACCATCCACCCAATCATCGGCATTTGACATTTGCTCTTCCCACCCTGTGGCTGACTCTTCTGTTCCCTCCCTTTCCTCATCCTCCAGTCTCCTTCCTTCCCACCTGTAATTTCAGGTCACCTTCTGCCTCAACCTTGGTCATATCAATGTAGTAAGGTATATCTCGCCCTCCAAAATTTCTCCTGAATGCTATTCTGACATCAACCCCAACTTTGAAGTTGGGGTTTCTTTCTAACTGAAGTATCATGCTAGATTTTCTGGTCATACAAGTGAGGCCTCCTTCTCCTTCCTTCCCCTTACCCTTTTTGCCTTCTTGGGTTCTTCAGTCTCCATGGTGTTCTCAGTGGTGGTGATGGTTTCTGTGTGAAGATGGAGTGTGGGGGACCTTGATTAGCTTTCATTAAACTCATATTCCTACCCCAGACACAGGGACAGGTATATCCTTACTCTCCCCCAAAAGTTGGGCATTCTTTCGAGTGAGGGACATACCATCTTTTCTTCCGAGGGAAGTTTCCTGATTGTCTGGAAAAGCTCCCATGTTGTCATTGCCTCCAAAATCCCTGGAGTTCTCTAAATCGGACATGCTGATGTCGGTCCTGTAGCTTCTAATTGAAACTTGGTCTGTCCAGGAGAAAGAAAATTTGGTGCAGGGGTAGGGTTTGGGTTATGTGAGAACAGTAAGTCCTGCTCCTCTCTGAGGATCTGCTGAAGCCCTGCAGGCCAGCTGGAGGAAGACAGGGCTCTGTGCTCATCTCAGTTCATTTTTCATGAATAATCAAAACTTAGCAATCCCTGCTCTTCAGTGGTCTTTGACCACTCAGTGCATTGTACCTTGTTTTGCCCTCATATTAGCCCTTTGAGGTTTTATGATCCTGGTCTTGAGCCATTAGGAGACTGAGCTATGAGTGGGGACACATCAAAGCCATGCAGTCCATTCTTAAACTAAGCCAGACATCCACATCTCTCAGCATCCTGTTCTCGTCTTCCTGGCCACCCTGCTACTGAACTGTGAGCCTGAGCAATTGGAGATAGCCTGCTGAAGACAGCATTTTGGTCGCCGCACATATGGTAAGTGTTGGGTGTGTGTGTGAGCTGACCCTTCCCCACATTGCTTTTCCAAACTCTCTGTGAGCCTATGAGAGAGAAAGGACTTGCAGACTCCCATAAGGACAGCTAAGCAGAACTGAGGAGAGGGGTAGGGTACAGCATTCTGTAGACTCACCAACATTTCTCCTGTGACGGGCTCTGGCCACTGCCAGTGCCACAGCCCCCAGTGCCAGCACCAAGGCCAGGGGCACCAGAGTGGAGACCAGCACAGTAGAGCTGCCACCTTGTCCTGCAGAGCTGGAAGAAGGATTAACTAGTCAGGCACTGAAAGGGAAACCTGAGGGTCTCAGGATGTTCTGGCAAGTTGACTTCAGCTATTTCCTCTTCCAGATTGATCTACTCTTTCCTCCCGATCCTCTCCCTGCCATAGTTACCTCTCTTCAGAAGCCTTTCCAGGCATGGTAAGTCCAACTTAATGCTAAAGCACTGCTTTGGGACAGAAGTACAGAAAGCACCGCTGGGCCCTCTGAGCACAGGAGAAGCAGCATGTGCCTCCACTTTTCCAGAGGGGAAAGGCTCTCCTGCTTGGGCCTGGTGGGCCAGTCTTACCCTCGGGATGTTTTCACAGTGGAGAGTCCTGAATCCCTGCTCACCTGCTGGTTTCGGGGGATGCTTTGCCCCCATCATCTGGACTTCCAGAATCCTTCACTGCTCTGTCCTCTGCAAAAAGGCTGGGATCCTGAATGAGGCTGGGATCCTGGTTGACTTTGTTCTCAATCTTCCTGACACTTGGCTCTCTCACCTCCTTATCAGGAGCAGCAATTACTTGGTTGACATCTTCAGACAATGGAGAGAGAAGAGTGGGGCTGTATGTCATTCTTTTTGTATGCTTTTACTTACTGCGGTTAGGGAGTCTGAGAAATAACAATTCATTATGAATCAGAGTCAGAGTTAGAATCCCAAGCTGTCATGGTAGGATCCAGAATGACACTAGACATAGAGAAGTGATGATTTTCTCTAGTTTGATACTGATGATCTGTGCCCCATCAATACAAATTCATTTTGATCCACAGTCTTTTAAGGACTGACCCATCATTTGACTGCAGAGAAACTTTTCCCATCTTTGAAACCCTGCCCAAAGTCTCCTGACTGCATGCTGGGTGTGAGAGTGCTGGCCCCTAGCAGTGGCTCGGAGGTGGATATCTTCATGAGCCAGACTACCTGGACCTAGGTGGTCTAGAGGGATGAAAAATACTCTCTTTACCATCTGGAATTTTAAGAATGCAGAGTGGTGATTACTGGATTGCTAGAGCCTGAAACTCCCAAATTAGAACCCTTTGTCTCCTAATAGAAGAGGTTATTATTTGCAGTGCTGAAGCTGTCAAAACACCTACTTTATCCCTATCCAGGGCCAAAGTCAAGACATGAACTCACCAGAACTTAAACACCTGCATCTTAATAACAGGAATAAGCACCTCAGTTACAGCCTCATGTGGCATTACATTGCTCAGTCACAGCCTGAGACTGGTGTGACACTGTATGAGAAATTCTAGTTGAGGAATTGGCTTAGCGGAGGAGATCATCATGGAATTGCACAACACATCTCAGGTACTTGTTGCATTTCAGGATGTTTGAAACCTTGATGCTCACTGGAGACAACTTTTCCAAGTGCTATGGCCCAACTATTACCCCTCACCAGCACCAGTGCCCCAGCCATCTGAACAGGTGCAAAGCCTTCAGCCAAAGAAATAACAGAAATAACAGTCTGTTATTTCTTTTAGGAGGAGTATCAAGTCAATTTATTGAAAACAGGAAGCCCCTGTAACAACAACAACAACAACAACAAAAAAAAACCCAAGAGACGGAAGAAAATATCACAAATGCTGAGGCAAAAAACCAACACAAAACCCTGAGAGAAATCTCAATCCAGAAGCAATGCAGTATGTGCTTATTTAAGAATTCAGGGTGGGCCTCCCCGGTGGCTCAGCGGTTGAGCGCTGAGTTGCGAAGCTGCCCGCAGCCTCTGCAGCACCGGTTCAATCCCTGGCTGCTCCCCGGCCACCGGAGGAGGGTCCCACATGGTGCGCAGACCTCTCCTGCCGCCCGCTGCTCCCCTCAGCAGTGTACTTCAGTCCTTCTGCCTGCTCTGCTCCCTGCTCTGGCTCTGGTGAATTCTCTCACCCTCCCGCTCTTCTGACTGTATCCAGTGCTTGTATAAATAAATAAATAAAACTTAAAAAAAAAACTTAAAAAAAAAAAGAATTCAAGGTAATAGTAATATCCACGCCGACTAAAGTAAAGGCGTTGGATGATGAAAAACAGAACCTTATAAAGATCAAGAAATTGTGAGATTAGTGTAACAGTGACAACTAACTGTAACAAGTGATCCACGATTAACTGCTGGAAATGAAAAGTATTATAGATAAATTATAAATATAATAGAGAACCTCAACAGCAGACAAATGTAAGAATGGAGAGACGAGTGAGCTTCAAAACACAGTGGCAGAGAACACACAAATACCACAAGGAAAAGAAAAAAGAATTAAAAAATGAAAAGAGTGTCAGAGCTCTTGGGAAAATCCTAAAGAGAAATAACTTGAGAACCCTAGAAGAAGTGGAGAAAGAGAAAGGCATAGAATTTGTTTAAAAAAATAATTGCTGGGAACCATCACAAACTGGGAAATAGACCAGATGTTCTGATCCAAGAGGGCCAAAGAGATGTCAGTACACTCCAGGACACATTATATTAAATTGTTAAAGTTAATGACAAGGACAGAATATTAAGAGCACCAAGAGAAAGAAGAGGAACACCTATCACTTGTCTGCAGACGTTTCAGTGGAAAACCTAGAGCCAAAAAGGAGGCATTTAAAAATTCAAAGAGAATCCTAAAGTGACCACATTTAAAATAATAAATTGCTATTTAAAAATTTAAGACACTTAAAAAAAGATTTCCAGCCCAGAATACTCTTTATTATGCAATATTATCATTCAAAGCAGAAGGAAGGGTGAGAGTTTCACTGAGAGACAAATGTTAAGATAATGGATCAACACCAAGCTGGATATAAAGGAAGCATTAAAGGGGATATTTTGAAGTAAATATGAAAGTGACAGCTATCTAAATTAATGGAGGGGATGGACAATAAAAGTGTAATTCATCAGAAGGAGTTTGAGACCAGACTGTCTAAATGGGTCACAAAAACAGTCCATCATGTATTAGCCTTAGCAACATTTCAAACAAAATGTAAAATGATGGAAATGGTACCTCAACGAAACATAAAAGGAAGAAGTCATAAAATAAAAAGACAGAGACAAACTTAAAAAGTTAAAATTAGTAGAAAAATAGTAACTTAAATGTAACTGAATTCATCAATTAAAAGTTATGGAGTGACTAAGTGGAAGTTCAACATTCTGCTGTTTTCAGGAAACCCATTTTACCAACAAAGACAAGCGCAGATGATAGTTAAAGCATGTGCAATAATCCTACAAGCAAATGCTAATCCAAAAAAGTCAGGAACAACTATCCTTATATTGGATAAAATAGATTCAATTGGAAAAAAGGTAATAAATTATAGAGATGGACATTTCATTATGATTAAGGACCTAGTACTAGAAATAACATGTACACCAAATATTAGAGAACCTTTAAAGTCCCAGGTGATTATTAATAGACTTGAAGTGAAATATTGGCACTAACAAAATAATACTAGGGAATTTCAACACTCAATTTCAGTTGTAAATTTCAATTTACATCTGTGAGAACATCAACAAGTCAGAATAATAATAAATGGGCCTCCCTTGTGGTGCAACGAGTTACGACACAACCTATGAATCTACCTGCAGCCACTGTAGCACGAGTTCGATCCCCGGCCAGGGAGCAACCCACATGGTGCAGCAGACCTCTCCTGTCTCGCCTGCTGTTCCCCTTAGCAGTGTATTTCAATCAGTCTGCCTTTTCTGTTTTCCACTCTGTCTCTGGTGAATCCTCTTGCCACCCACACTCTGGCCTGTACCCCAGTTCTTGTATAAATAAATAAATAAATCTTAAAAAAATAATAAAAATGCCTTAAGGAGGAGCTAGATCAATAGACACCTACAGAACACTCTACCCCCAACTGCTGCATGTTTATTTTTTCAAGTGCATGTGGAAAAGTTTCAAGAATAGAATATATGCTGGGACACAAGTCAATTGTCAATAAAACTACTAAGATTGAAATGGTACCAAATACTCTTTCTGACAATAATGCCATAAAGCTATAAATAAACTAAAAAAAAAAAAAAAGAGAGAGGAAAAACACTAAATACATGGAGACTAAGGAACATGCCGCTTGACAGCTATTAGATAAAAGAGGATATTAAAGCAGAAATTAAGAAAAAACACCTTGAAACTAATGAAAATGAAGATACAAGTTATTAGAACTTACAGGATGGAGCAAAAATAATTTTAAGAGGGGAGATAATTATAATACAGAACATTGAAAATTTCCAAATAAACAACTTAATATTAAGCAATTTGAAAAAGAACAAACAAGTCCAAAAGTCATTAGAAGAAAGGACATAATAAAAATAAGAGCAGAAATAAATGAAACAGAAGTCAAAAGATTGATAAAATTAAAGTTGGTTCTCTAAGAAGATAAATAAAACTGATAAACATTTAGCTAGGCTAAGAAAGAAAAGAGGAAAATTATTAATAAAGAGAATTAGAAATGAAAGAGGGGAAATTACCACAGAAATACCAAGGATCACAAGTGATTACTATGACCAAATAACTATATGGCAATAAATTCAATAACCTGAATAAGTCAACAGATTTCTAGAACAATATAGTTTACCAAGACTAAATCAGGAAGAAACACTAGTGGAATATGCTAAGCAAAATAAGCCAGACGGAGAAAGATAAATAGTGGATGGTGTCACTCATATGTGGAATATAGAGAAATCAAACAAAGGATCAAATGAAGACAAATTTTAGAACCAGTCCTTGAAAACTGACCATAGATCTGAGACATCCAATAGGGGAAGGGAGATAGGAAGGATGAGGGTGTAGGAGGGGAGGGAGGTACAATGGGCCATGGTGGGCTTCTTATGGGTGCTTTGTTTGTGGGAAAGATATGATGGCCACACCTGAGGGGAGAAATCCTACCTTTTCAAAATATTTGCAAAGATGTAAACCAAGGTGCTTCATTAAGTTAAAAAAAGGCAAAAATTGACCCCCCAATCCTTTGTGGAATAGCCATACAGTAGCCCAACAAGTAATACTATACAGCTCTAAAGAAAGATGAAATGGTACCATTTACTGCAAAATGGGAGGAGTCTGAGGGAATTATGTGTAGTAAAGCCAGTCAGAATGACAAAGTCAAATATCAGGTGCTTATATGGTGTGTGTTTTGACAAAGCAAAATACGTATATAAACTAGTGGGCACTAATAAAGGATATGAGGGTCCGAGGTTAAGACAGAGGAGGGGAGGGAGCGATGGTCAAGGGATGTAAGGGATGAGGGCAGGAAAAGCACTCTCATTAGGGATGAGACATTTCATGTGATATTAAAAAAAGGGTTTACATTGAAACTTGCAAGAAGAGGTTGCCTTAATTTTCTTAGCAGACCTGTAAATGAAGGAGTCTGGCCCCCTTTGAGAGCAGGCTTTGGCATATTGCATTTGACAGGGTATTGCATGTGATAGTGACTTTGAACCTTATATATAAAGGGATTCAAAATGGACTGAAGGGGCAACTATGGGACTTGTCTTAAAGTTGAGGTTAAACAGCAAAGCTATGATTTTCTCTTGGTTTATGGTTATTTCAGGTGCCCTTTTGGAGTGTTCAAGGAGAACTATGTGGGGCTACATTTCCCTTGCCCCGAATCTCTTATAGCCACCCCTGATGGACTGTTGGGCAGGCACCTTCCTCTTAGGTTTTGGGGGTATAGGTCTTACCCTCGAAGACTCACCTTTAACCCTCTTATTGACAGTTACATGGACCGCCACGGTCTCTTTGTATTGGGGGCCATCCTTCACCCCGCACCAGTACCAGCCCTCATCATCCTTAGTGACTGGGTTCAGGATCAGGCTTATGAGCTGGCTGTTCTGGCCGCAGTTCGCAAAGGCCTGGCTTGGGCCTTCATCTTGGCTGGGCAGGGTCCTGCAACCTTTGTCCGTCCACTTGCACCAGTATTTTTCAGAGGAGTAGAATCGGCATGATACATTGCAGGGGAGCTTGAGAGATTCTTCCTCCCAAGCAGTGACATCCTTGGGTACTTTGAGGTTTGGTTCTCCTGCAGTTGAGTAAAGGGAGAAATGGGCACAGAGTTGGCACTGGCGATACTGCAGGGGAGTGACTGTGGTGGGAAAGTTTGTCCAGGTTTGTAAATGAAAACATTACACTAAACACATAGGAAATGTAATTATGTGCCCAGGTGGTAACTGTTACTCATGAACACCAGGAACCAACCCAGTATATGACAGCACAATAGAACCTTGCACCTTGACTTTGGGCTGCTCTCTGTTTCTCTCTTCTAGGCTCAAACAAAGAGCTGCCCGCTACTCAGTAGTGTTGCTGGAACACTATAAACAGCAGGTGCTCCCTGTGGAGGTTGGAAAAGTGGGTGTATGCAGGGAAGGGTGCTTGTTACAGGAGAAACTTAATCGCTCAACAGTGGTCTTGCTCCTCAGATCCAAGGTTTGTCCCATCAGCACGAAGTTTGGTGAGAAAGGAAGAAAGGCAGGTCGGGGAGGGGGTGAAGTTACTGATGACTGAGGGATCCTCCCTTCCCTTTTGCCCAGATCCACTCTTACCGTCCACAACCTGCAGCTCCACTGTAGTTGTCCAGCCATCATCGCCACTGGTCAGACACCAGTAGATGCCAGCGTCCTGGGCAGTGAGCTGGTTGAGTATGACGGTGTAGGTTCCATTGCCTGGCTCTTCATACAGTGCGAGCCTTCCCTTGTAGTTCTCATGCTGTTCCGGAACCACTCCCGCGCTGCTCTGCACCAACAGTGGGCAGCTGCCACTTTGAGTATTTTCCCAGCGGCACCAGTACTTCAGGCTGTCTCTTTCCTTAGGGTTGTAGGGGCAGCGCACGGACACAGAGCCTCCTTTCACTCCTTTCACCACAGAGGGTCTAGCGGGAATTGACGTCTCTGGAAGTACAGAGATGGGATGGAAGAATAGTAATATAATCCGAGCAACCTTTTCTCCACAGCCTCAGCCAGGGTGGGGAGTATGGTTCAGATGAATCATCTCACCCTCAGAAAATGAAAAAGACTGCTGGTGTCACAGAGCCTGCCGTGGGAGTCACACAACTCCACAGACCTCACCACTTGCTGGGCTTCACGCTCCCTTCCCCTTCTTTATCCTGAGCAGAGAATGGACGGGATTTAAGGACAGACTACTTAATTTGGCTTCTTTTAAATCTCCCTCTAAGTTTTTGCCTGTTTATTACCTTTACCACAAAAATCTACTGATAGATTTTCTCTAAGTTAAGAAAATTTATTTGAAATGGTACGAAATAAAATATAAACCATATAACACAGATAAGTGTAACTGGCAGACTCTGAGGGCATCTCGAAGGATGGCCATTCTCCAAGAGGCTAAAGCTGCCATCTGTGAGCGCCTCCCCGCCCTGATGCTGAGGGGGTGGGGAAGACTCACAGCTAGATACAGAAATGATGCCCAAGAGAGGCCAGCGCTTGGATGGCAAGTACGGGTGTTTCTCGTGAGGGAAGGAAATGCGCTTCCACGTGAAAAGAAGCCAACCGTGTTAGTGACCCTAAAGGCAGAGCCAAATACAGTAGTCTAGATCAGGTGAATACCCAGTGACTCTAAGAGATTTGGAGTAGAAAATTTAGAGGCTGGTGCATTACTTCCTGGGAAAGCTTTGAGACCGAGATTTTCCAGTTTGTCTCCCATCTGATTATGAGCAAAGAGATTAGGGCCAGTCACTCCCTGGGAGCCCTGCCGTGACCCCTGAAACCCAGACAATCTGTAAGCTTGGCCTAGTCAGGAACTTCACGCTCCTCATCCTTATTAAACAGAGGCAGCCATCAAAAGGCCTTTGATAAAACAGAAGAATTAAGTGCTAACATAAGGCAGGGCTGTGTTTTCTAGTTCTCCTATGTAGCTGCCCACAGAGCAGCCAGCTCAGGGTTTACCAGTGTATAGATACTGTTGGCTGCTTGAAGAATAGCAAGGCCTACTGAATAGGTCCACAGAGTGTTCCATCCCTTCCCGTCAGGGCTCACCTTCATTGACGAAGAGATGCCAAGCCTGACTGGATGCGCCTTCCTGCAGCTCCCCAGAGCCATGGGCACCACACAGGTAGTGGCCCGTGTCCTCCTTCCGCAGGCCGACCATCAGCACGCTGAATGAGCTGCTGTTCTGGGGAGTGAGCAGGATCCTGCCCTCAAAGGCTGGGTCCTTCGTACCCAGGGTGTTGATGACCACATTACACTGCTTCGTTTTATTCATTCGGCACAGAAATTTGGCCTCGTTGTCCACATTGGAGCCCAGGGTACAGTTAAAGGTCACCGAGCCCCTCAGGTCTGCATAAGCGAGCTGAGGCCCAGGTGTCAGCACTTGGAGGTCAACTTCTTTCCCACCGTTGGGACCTTGGAAATCATCTCCAGCCAAGCACATGTATGTCCCGGCATCACTGGGCCGGACTTGTTTGATGATGAGAGTAAACTTCAATTCACTGGTACCGTAATATTGAAGCTTTAGTCTGCCTTCAAATGCAGGATCTATATTATATTCATCTTCGGAGTCAGCTATTAAAACATAGTCTTTGTTGTTTGATTTCCAGTACACGGACTTCTTACTTGAAGCATGCTCACTCTTGAAGGGGCAGTCAACAGTCAGTGTGTCACCCATGTCCAATGTGTAGATTTCGATTCCACCTGAGATCTTGTGACCTGCAGGATTAGGGGTGGCATACAGGACAGATCAGTGTTTCCATTGAGGATATGTGTGTGCTCATCACCTGCAATACTGTCAGAATGTGGCTTCCAAGGCCCTGTTTCATGCTTTTTCGTGCCCTCTCTCAGCTGGCACTAGTCTCTCCCTCCTCTTGCTCTCCTGACACTTAACACCTATATCAGTCACTACCTCCAATCTTGTATGTAGTTAATTATGCTCCCCAAGACTCCCCAAGTCTCTCGAGGGCAATGCTTTATTGGGATTTGACTTCCCTGCAGTGTCTAGCACAATGCCTCTACCTAGTGGGTGCTCAAACTAACATGGGTTGAAATAGCACAACGGATGTGAGTACAGGGAGGTAGTTTTTAGTGTATTACAACGAAGTTTCTAAAATTTTTGACAGTCTGAATATGGAATGAGATGCCATGCAAAGTAGTGTGTTTCTCCCTTTTAAAGTGTTTAATCAGAGGCTGTATGACCGTCATCCCCAGCATTCCACTGGATGTCCTTCAGATGATAAGCCCTAGCTCTCTCAGGATCCTAATGTTCTGCAATTTTGTGAATCTCTATCACCACCTGAATGAACTCTTTATTCAGCCCACAGATAACAGGCATATTCCAAAAGAACAACACACATTTTTGGGACACTTTCTAAATTTCCCTTTGTCTTTAAATTACCCTTGATTATCTAAAATGTCCTTGTTGTTGAATGTTATCAGAAAGATATTTCCTATTTTCCTCTTTCCTAAATTATAACATACTTGTCTGGTGGCCCATCTCTGCAGGGCCACGGCCTTTGGACAAGAACTGATAATTTAATTAATGCTATGAGTGTTGATTGACTAATGGATCACGTGTTTAAAAAATTTTATTTTGAAGGCAGTCTTCTGGTGACTTAAGGCCTTGATCTAAAGGGTAAACTAATGGTAGGGATTTGAGGATCCAGGATCCCTATAAATCTCTCTGTTAATTTTTATTTTTTTCCTCCCTTAGCTCATGAACCTCCTACCTCACCTGCAACAAACACACTAAGAGAAATTGTCTTTCTGATGCTCTTTAAACCAGGATGTGGCCTTAGTAAAGCCCTAGAATGTCATACAGGGCCTGAAGACATAGAAAAGTCTGCATGCTGCCCCTGAACAGTCCTTCCTGTCTTGTTCTCATGTCCTGTTGCCACGAGCCCTAGCCTCCAGTGGGAAGGAGGCCCATAGCCCTACCTACCCCATGTCAGGAAATCTTCCCCTCTCCGGAATTTCTACCTCAAGCCCTTTTGTTGCACCTGAGACGATTCCCTCTCACTTTTTCACAGAGACCCCAGGAGGCTGGATCCTTACCTTGGAAGACATTCAGGGCTACATCAAAGGATAGCCCTCGGGTATTAATGCCCAGACCACACTTGTATTTCCCAGTGTCGTTTGTCGTGAGTTTGGCAATGTTCACCACAAATGTGTTGGTCTCTGGGAAGTTGATGATGCTGCTTCTGTCCTGATAGTCCTTGGAGATGTAGCTGTCAGAGGAGATTTTGGTTGTGCAGGTGCCTTGAGCTCCCTGCCGACACCAGTACTTCCGGGTATGACGATTGACAGACGTGTCCGGGTAGAAGCATGTGATGTCTGCTGAGCGACCTTCTATTTTTCTTACCTCTTGGGGGCCAAATATGGGACTCTTCGTGGAGACCACTATGGGGACAAAAGACAGACTTTCTGAGGCTCTGGGAGGGGAAACCTGCTGAGAGGATCCAGACAACCTACTTTGAGGAGATGAAATTTTCCACCTAACACATTACTATTGTGGATTATTTGTCAAGTAGGACAGCTAGATAATTGATGCAGTTGGGTAAAATGATTGATTAATAAATATTAAATTCTAATTATAATTCATGAATGAGACAGTTAAGGACATTGGTGAATAATATCGAATGGTATTCCTTGTTTATCAAATTTTTGTAGGGTATACACTTTTGCATTATAATCTGTTATTTTCTAAACACACTATATTGATTATTTTCTTTTCTTCTAGAAGACAAATATTGAGATCCAGAAGGATAAGTCATTCCCCCAAACTCCATAGCAACTCATAGACATGTTTAGTTCAAGGTCAAGGTCTTTTTTTAATTCCCAGTGAAGACCTTTTATTAGACCCCTAGCCTTGAAATGAAGAAATCACTGTTCTTGTTCCAATCTATTTTCAGACATTACCTTTCCCTGTTGTCTGACTCCTTGAGCAAGTGCAAGTTTTGAAAGGTGCATCCTCTGTGAGGGGAGGGGCTGATTTCCATATCCCCAGGGAATTGTATCCTGGAGGGGGAAGGGCTGGGACCTGGCAGACCTACCTGGGAAGACAGCCAGCAGGCAGGTGAGGAAGAAGAGCATCATCACTTGGGGCTCCCGAGGGGCTGTGCCCCTTAGGTCAACTTGCATGGGGTGCTGAAACATAAGCACGATTTGATGAAGCGCGTGTGCCTCCCAAGACTAGCTGACCTCAGAATTCCTGTGTCACCTGTTTGGCTTTCTATCTCCAGCAACGGACATAGCCTTTAAATGAATAAATGGCTCCATATTTCCCATTACAGCTCAAGGACCCATCACCCACGGTGCTTGTGGTTCTGTAGTATCTATAAAGGGATTTTTTTTTTTTCAACTAAGCTGCAAGTTTCTTTGTGATGGGAACACATTTGTTCTGAATCCCTGTCAGGGAGACACAGTCCTGGGAAAGGTCCTTAATATCTCAGGAACTGGTCACTGGACCACTCTACCAACAAGTTGCTCCGTCTCTGTTTCAGCTGACCCTCTCCATCCCTGGGAGGCAAAGAGGACTAGCATATTTTATGGGGTGTTTGTATGAGTTAACTAAGACTCACAGAGGGGGCCTAGTAAGGAGTACAGTTTAAATGTAATGATGATGGTTATAACCACTATCTTTTCTTTTTTCAGGCACTGGATTAAAAAGCATACAGGTATTATTTCATATAAACTTGATATCAGCCCCATGAAGTGGGTTTTTAATCCATATTTTACATAGGAAGAAATGAAAGTGAAAAGCTTAAGTCCTTTCCTCATGGTCACAATGAAATTAAGCGTGTGGGTGAGTGGGGTATAGGTGAGGTAGGTGGACAAGACTTGAACCCAGCTTTGTCTGATTCTGGAGTCCAAACCTTGCTCACTGCACTGTGTATTGCATCTCAAATACAGCCGATACAGCTCTTATGCTGATTCCTCTTGTTTGCAGAGCCCCCAGAGCTTCTCAGTGCATTGTCACTTATTTACACTGTGGCACTGGAGTTTCATAACTTCCCTTTAAAAAGATAAAAATGATAACTATTTTATGGATAAGGAAATCAAGTTCTTGTCACATTGAGTGATAAACCCAAGATTTGGGGTATGGAACGAGGCTTAAAAGCACAGGTGCCATGACCTTTGTTGTGCTGCCTGGTGAGACCAGCAGATTGAGATGAGAATCCAAGGTCAGCCCCCTGGGAGGTGTCGTGCACCTTGTCATAGCTGCGGAGCCCACCTGGGGCAGGGTTGGGCAGGACTGAGTGTCCCAGGGCCCAGCCTGACCAAAGCTGTCTTCAGGACTCAGGCTGCAGCCTAGAGGAGAAGAAAGGTATAGAGAGGAATGTCTACTTTCCCATGGACTTTGATAAGCTTTGAACTTCAGAATGAACTTGGCAAAAAGAGTATTGAAGGAAGAAACCATGTTAACAAGTGCTGGGCCTCCATAAAGACAAGAAAGAGCTAATGAGCCCCATAAAGATAAGGAAGCTCTAATGAACCCCATAAAGATAAGGAAGTTGTAAGCAGGAGGAAGTGGGAGAATGATCTCCCGGCTTCCCTGGTGCTGCCTTGGCTCCTGTTCCTGCCCCCTGAAACTCCCTTTACTGGCTTGAGCCAAAGACATCAGAACTATTTATCTTGATTGTTTTTTTTTTTCCTTGGGGGGAATTTCCCAGCAAGGAACTTTTTCATTTCCCTGTGGAGATAAAGGTATTTTGTTTCTGCCTTCTTGGGAGAGGGGGACAGATATGAGTGTCAGGTGGCAGCTTGAGTCTCTCTTGACTCTGGTTAATTTCATCGGAACTTTCACACCAGGTCAATGATTAACCTCTGCAGAAAGGTGAGTCAAATGGCAGTGTTAGCCCCAAACTGGACACAGTCAGGGACTGCTGGCTGGGGGCCACTAGAGGGGGCACTGCCGGTCTCCATGCAGGGACTCCTAGGCAGGAATAGGTGTCAAAAGTCTGGTAAGTGTGTCTCCTCTGAAAGAGTTGGGATGGGTTTGCTTCAGATCCTGCAGACTGTACTGTCTGCCTTTTGCACTGACCTGGAGTATACTTGCAAGCAGAGGACAAAATGTCATATGTTTCTAAAAGCCCAAACCAGCAGTTATTCTCCTTAGTTCTGATTTCCTGTTCTCACCTTCAGGTAAGCAAGCTTACTAGCATTTCTGTGAGACGTAAGTGGGTCTTCTGAAGGGCTGAGCTGGGGGATAAAGCCCCTCCTCTGGACTAGTAGAAGTGATTTTCCTTAGGTTAAAGGGAGTCAGATGCTAAGTTTTTGAAAGTGGGAACCCTAACTTCTAGTCCAGTCCTCCTGTTATTTGTGCCGTGCTTAGATCGCTGTAAATGTAGTACAAGGGGATTATATACTCACCGGTACCCATTCCCCTCTTTAAGGCCTCAGGCCAGTGATAAGAGTATCAAATATGCACATCTAGAAGGGCAAAGCCAGCAGAGGCTGACCGATGAGGAAGCACAGAGTCCATTCCCGGGGAGATGACAGGATGAGACAGAAAATCTTTTCCCAAAACTAAACTTGAAGCCCAATTTCTCTGCTAGTAGCTGAAAGGACTCTGGGCTTTGAGAATCATTTGAGATCCCTTCCTCTCAAAACCAGGCTTTCTCCAAAATATGGGAGATTGAAGTCCCAGAGGCACTCATTTATGATGGCTTGAGGAAAGAATTTGCTGGAGGAAAAATGGAAAGTATAATATTTATTGGGCACCCACTGTGCACCATATGCTTTGTTAAGGTCCTTTTCTTATATCATTTCACCCATCATCATAGCAACCCAAGACGTAGATATTATCTTCATGTTGCTGATGAGAAATCTAGGAGTTAGTAAAATTCTCGGTCCCCATATCTACTGTGGGATTGGATCACTACCTGAAGGTTAGCTTCTCCTTGAATGACTATAGGGACCTGTTCTTTTCAGACAAATATATGCTGGTTTTTTAAATGGGTGCTGTTTTTTCACCTCTTTCCAAGTAAGACTGGGATGTTCAAAAACATTCTCATCTTTACTATTGTCTTGTTATATTTATAACATATGTCTACACAATTTTGGAATGGAGCATGGGTGTAGGTAGTGTTATCTCCTAAACATTAATCTAGCTAGCTCCTCTGCCATCAGAGGGACTCATCTGCAGCTCTTATGGCTTGAAATCCAAACCTTGTCCATCTGATCTTAGGTTTCCTTTTTTTCCAGAGGGAGAGGGATCTTCTGGAATAGGTTTTGGCCAGGCTGCTGGTGAGTTACATGCCTTCAGTATCTCTGAGTTTACCACTTGTTTGGTACTCAGCTGAGGATTGGTGGGGGCTCCCACAAACCCAGGGCCTTTAGGGAACATGTACTATGTGGAGTTGAAGCCAAGCTGGCAGTTTGGACAACTTCCTGTGAATGTGAACTTAGAGGAGCTGGCAGTTTGGGGTTCCTAGTGGGGAGCAATTAGTCTGGCTGGGGAAGGGGCTTCCCTGGCTTGGATTTTCTTCCCTTACTCCCAGAAGAGCAGTCCTGAGTCCATTTGGGCCTATTACTCTAGCACCTCTCATGGGTGCAGGGACATAGCACAGACTAGAGTGAGTCTGGAAATCGCAGCACTACTAGGAGTGTGTGTTCCAGGAAGGAGTGTGGGAGAGTTTCTGTAATGTGGGAGAGTTTCTGGATGTGGAAGAGTCTCCAGGAAAGGTAATGTTAGGAGAAGGAAATAGGAACTAGAAGGCAGGGAGATGGAGACAGAATAGACTAGGGTTTCAAAGAATGTATGAGCTAGAAAAATCCAAGACCTGTTCCTAGCAAAAGGGCCCTATTACTATTGCAAGACTTTAGCAGAAATTAAGTGTTCAGAAGGCTCATTACATGAAGCTCTGCAAATGAGGCTTGTGGGTTTCCAGATGTCCTTTCAACAAAGACTTAGAACTCCTGTTATTGATGTTATCCCACAACCTTGATGTGTATGCATTTATCTTGTCTACCTCACTCTGCCAGACAGCAAGTGCCTGGGAAGCAGGGGCCAGGTGAGATCAATCTCTTTATCCCCAAGGGCCTTGCACAAGAGTGCCTGGTAAGGACCAGGTGTTCAGCAAGGACTGCTTAGTTTGGGAATGGTTACATCCTCCTCTCTCTGAGAAGGGCAAAGTTGGGGCTTATTTCTCTTGCTTTGCCATGTGTCTTCTTGGTTATGGGCACTGGAGGGACAGTTGCATGAAGAGGAGACTTGAGGGTGAGAGAGAACCCAGGAATCCAGTGTCCTGCTCTGTCACAGGCTGCCCAGGCATCTCTCCCACTTGGGAAAACATGTTAGCTCAACAACCTCATCAGTAAAATGGGCATAATTATCTCTGACTTGTCCAGATTGAAGGGCTATTGTCAAATGGGGGCATGTGAAAGAGGGTAAGAAGGCAATGAACATGGAAGAATTTAAAATAGTATAAAGTGCCCTTACTGTAAGAGATGACAGTCACTCTAAAGTACAGGAGGATGATGGGGTTCTGTGCTCTTAGCTAGTGGCACAAAGCCATTAGTCTTCAGCTTGGCTATCAGCTCTGTCATCTGGGGTGGGGAGGGGTGTGATTTAAGGGCAGGTTACCTAAACGCTTGGAGCCTCAAGTTCCTCACCTGTAAACTGGAGATACTCGTACCTAATATAGAGAATTGCTCTAAGGATTAAATGAAACAAAAATAAAGTCTTTAGTAACATATCAGGCTTGTAAAGATGTTAGTTCCTTTTTTGACTCTTCATTTTAATCAACACAGTCTTCTTTATCCCCTTAGAGTGAGAGGAAAAAAGAAGTCTCTTTGCTGGGCATCCTTTGAAGACTGGGTGTGAGCTGTTCAGATGTTCAGGGTCCAGAGTGGCCCGAAAGAGGGGACGTTTGGTGGACTAGGCTGGAGTAAGGGGCGCTAAGCATAGCCAGCACACACTGAGCTGTTTTCAAATACTTGGCATGTGTTAACTCATTTCATCTTCCTAGCAGCCACTCTGCAAAATTGGATAAAATCGGTAAGCCCATTTCAGGGGCTTCCCTGGTGGCGCAGGCGGTTGAGCGCCGCACTGTGAAGCTGTCTGCAGCCTCTGCAGCACAGTTTGATCCCAG